TAAGAGCATCAAGGTAGTTTTTTATCTCTAATTTCTGTCATACATGAAAGATGATCTGTGCCGTTGTCGACTTCATCTGGCGATTGCGAAATTAACTAGATTGTCATTCTGTTTTGACAGATTGGACACTGATATTTTCATAACGTTGTAGACCCGAGATTGAATTTCTACAATCTGTGTGCCAGTATCCAGAATCATATGATTTTTGAGAGCCATTATCAAGGTAGAACCAAGTTTTTGAAGCCAAATCCAATACCAATAAATACCATTCCAGTGAGCAAAAAGATAGATACAGCTGAGATTTTTACTGAAGGTAGATGTTCATTAATTCTACATAAAGTGGAAACTTCAATTATCTGTGTCTTTAGCCAGAAAAGATTAAACATCAAAATTTTCAAGTGCTTAGGATGCATTGCTATATGCATCTACAACAAAGTTCAATTGGATCGATAAATTCATTGTTCAAAGTATATTGTCTACGAAAATAACTAAGCAGAACATGGTCATTTTCAGGAGTTTTAAATAAGCCCTTCACATCATTAAGTACACGAAATTTTTGAAAATAGTTTACGATAAGTCATCAAACTTTTGCCTTTGTATAGTACATATATTAATTTCAGCACCACCACAAAATTTCGATTGAATGCAATCAATCGAAGCCTACATTCAATAATTCTTAAGAATATTCATTGTGCTTCGAAAAGAAATAGTTCACTATAATTTATTATAAGCTAGTATTAGAAACAGGTATATACAGAATGTGATCGTACCTTTTTCTGCTTACAGCAACTCTATCACCTCAACAAATTCGAGAAATACGTAGAGAAAACAAGTTTGCAGATTTGGGTGATAACGATATTGAAGCATGGCATAAAGGATTTATTGAGGCACAGTAAGAAACCTTACAACAACGAATTTTTATATATTGTTTCGTTACTTCACTTTTTAAGTCCTACTGGTGAACTGGATGAAAAGGGATTCATGGATGAATTGAAAAAACTTTACCCAAAGTAAGTGTTCTCTTTAAACTAATATTCTTAGAATTACGAATTCTATATTTAGTGGAGATCCACGGCATTATTGTAATTTAGCATTTAATACGATTGACAAAAATCATAATGGAGTTATAAACTTTGCTGAATTTATGACAGCTGTTTCTTTAAAAGTAGCAGGCAATGTTGACCAGCAACTTAGTCTTGTCTGTATATAACTTTTATTTCAGTGAATATCAATATTTTCATTAGAGTTTCTTTATTTTTTTCAAGATTTTTGCCATATGTGCGTGCGGTGATTCAAAAACTGTTGGTGCCGTAGAATTAACTCAATATTTAGAAGCCATAGCGGAGTTACAAAATAAAAATGACACAATTGATTCAAATTTTATAAAGTCGATTGTCAAAAAAGTAATGGAATTTGGCGAAAAAGACGATGATGAAAAGATTACAAAAGAAGAATTCATCGATTGGTGTGTATCATAAAAAAAAACATTTTCATCATTGACAAGCTCTTTTCTTGTCTAGCCTTAAAAAACATCACGATTTATGTGTGGCATTTTTACCAATTGCAGACCGTGAGTAATACGCGACATAAAACTGCATAAAGGATAAAACTAGTCTTTAACAAGGAACGATTTATGAAGAAAAAAATGGTCGAATTTTATGTTTTCCACTCGTCTACGGATAAATTTGTCATAGTCTCATGCTCAGTCCAGTCTGAGTTTCATAATTTGAAAGAATCAAACATTAGAATCGATATATGGTGATTCTTGAAAGATCGTAGTACTACTTTTTTCAAGTCACACATAGACATTGAAGTCAAAACATCTTTGGAATCTCCATAGATCTCGAAAACACTCAATAACGTTCGAATACGAGTTCTACTTTTCTAGAAGTCTGAAAAAATTATCGATAACACTCAGGAATCTAAGAAAAATCTCAAAAGCTGGATGACAGTTTGATACCACATCGTTATTATTGTAACTGAAAAGCATGCATTTCATGGCTTCTGAAAATTATTAAAGATTCTAGCAATAATGCCTCGCCTTTTTTCTCCATAATTCACATCAACCATAAGAAAATAACTATCGACGTTAATATACTTTCAAATTGTTATAAGCTGCTAGTTGTGTTGTCGTTGAAGGTAAGATTTGAAATTATTTAAATATTAACATTTAGCTAAGTTCAAAATAAGCAACTGTTATCATTCGAATCAAAACGCTTAAAAACTATTACTTCTGAGTTATAATAATAGCTTAGATGAGTTTTAAGTGCTTTCAGACAAACATTCATTACTCCTATAAAAAAAAATTAAGCCTTAAAAGGTAGATTATACTGACATTTAAACTGCAGTGCTATCTAGGTTTAATGTCAAATATTATCTTGAAAAATAAAAGACGGATGAGAGCATGATGTCTGTTTGGAAATGCTTTTATCTGCATGTACATCCTCAAATATTTCTGTAGGTTCAATAACAACTGTCAGCCTAATCATTTCAATAGCTCAATAGTTCAGACAAAATCGCGTATTAAATCATAATTCTATCAACGTAGGTCATATATTTTGAAAATTATCCTTAAGTTCATTGGTAGACGAAATTTAGCGGTTTATCAACAGGCCATTCGGAAAATTTTCATTTCTTCCGAAGGCGTCGATTCGGACCCGCGGATACTGTAGAAACCGGCTGAAAAAACGCTGTATAAGGACTCTTCTCTTCCAAGCACTTCCTTCCACTGACAACACGATGAAATAATACGAGATTCCGACAGATCCAACTGGAATCCAAAAGGAGTGGAGTCAGGAATCATTGGCATCCGTGTGACATGATATCTGAATCAGATACTAATTTTGCGGGGGCACAACAAAAATTAACCGTGTCCAAAAGAAACTTTTTGAGATCCTTACTAGTGATAAGTCTATCGAAATCTCAACAATAACGTCAAAATAAACTGTCCGTTAGAAAAAAATCATGAAGAATTTTCTTTTATTATTCAGCAACTTGAATTTCTAATATCCTGTTTGAATTATAGATCGCTCACAGAAGATCACAGAAAATCGTTGTTTCCATATAGCTCTATTTTTAGGTATTATTGAGACTCAAATTACTAGTAGAGTAGATCTTATATTTCTAGTTAGGGAAAGTCATATCTAGTTGCTAAAACGATACACGAGTTTGAGAATACTCATACCACTTATGAAAGAATAATTTTCCATTCCTACAACTTTAATATGCCTATTCAACTGATTGATCAATTCGCATGACTGCTCGACATCCTAGCTTTCCAATCAAGCTGTGCTAGGAGGCAATGACTTGGCCATAAAAGCAAAGGACATTCTTTCATTTCTTAAAAATATGTCTTACTTTACGGATAGGAAGCATATAAGGAAACCATACCTAATAATCTTTTTGTTCAGCTCTCATAAACGACTTATTCATGATTTATTCAGCACATGTGTATCAATCGAGCAGTATTCTACACAACAATAAACTCTTTTCACCAAATGTTTGAAATAATCTTCAAGAAATTTAATTCTTGCTATCTGTTCATCTGAACTACAAATAACAGCATAGATATTCTAACTAAATAAGAAACAAAATCTGTCATACATTTTCTATATGACTTTTACTGCCACCATATGCAATGTTCTGTACACTCTACAAAGTTTTGCATTTTTGATAGCTTCATAGGACATGAAATCAATCCGCACATAATGACAATATGATCATTGAATCTTTTCATTTAGATTATCAACAATGTGCACCGCCAACAAGTGTACAACCATCGACTCCAAAACCCCCACAAAAATATCTTAGTTGTGGTGGTCGTGCTTGTTCTACATGTGATGGTTGCAATGACTGGCACCGCGTTAATTCTCATTGGACTCTTGTCGATGGTGGCAGATGCACTGCATCCAATTATTTTATATATCTACATCTTCCTGTACTCTGCAGCTGTAAAACATATTATTGAACACAATGATGATTGTTATGATCGACAGCATAGTCTATCATTCGAATCAAGTACTTGATTGAAAACTAAAAAAAAGACAATTATCTATTTTAACCACATGAATAACCCACTGTGACCTATATATGCTTTTCACTAATTCACCTACAAATAAACTTATGCTGATATAATATTAAAATCAGGATGAGAGGAGTATGTGAAGGCAAGGTACTTGAGGGTGTGGGTGTGGGTGTGGGTGTAGGTGCAGGCGTATGTGTTCTCAGCATCCACACATTGACTTCATATTCTCATTCACTTCCACACCAACAATTCCCATCCACACCAACATTACACCCACACCCTAATCACTCATACTGGATAAATGAATAAAAACACGAGAAGAACCATTATGAAATTCGAATGCACTATTGAAAATAATTGATGTTTTTCTCAAAAGATTCACGATGTAATACATCGACTAGTGAATAAGACGACAATGATATGATCGAATGTCAAATAGTTAAATAATTTTTTTTTTGGGAAATTTCATTTTGTTACGTATTGAATATGGTAAAACTAAATGAATAAATAAATGATAAAAATGAATTAAAACAATATATCAAATCGGAATATTACAAATTTTCTTAGAAAAATATTATTTTCAAATAATTAAAATCATCAAATGACAATTTCTATCATTCATTTATACAGATTCTTCATTGTTTATTTTTGAATTAATTCTATTCATATCATTCTTTTTATTTACTAAGAAACTCAAATTTAAATAGAAAAAAAAGAACATTTTTCAATAGAATAAATACTATTGAAAAGAATATTAATGTCTCTTTAAAATTTTCTATTTCGTCCATTAGGAAAAAAAAATTAACTTTGAAATATGAAAAATAAAAGAATTAAGCGATCGAAATTTCTATTAAATATAATCGATGAAAATGGAAATCATTTGTCATTTTAATAAAATTTTTATGTATTTTGATTGATTTCAGGGAGATTATGTATTGAAACAAACTATTGATAAAGACAAACTTTTAAACATAAATATAAAATTAGATGATTTTCAATGTCATTGATTAAATAAAAAACTAATTTTGATGATTTAAACATTTTTCTTGGCAAATAAATGAAACCAAATAGTTTGATTTCTAAAGAAACAGACACACATCACCAACGATTTGCTTTTATCAATAATTTCATTCATTAATTGTTTTCTCATTCGATTTCTGATCATATATATCAATTGTTGTCGTCTAACTGGAATTTATATGCTTAGAAAAAAAAAGGATGACAGACTGATATATAAGAAATTTAAAAAGTATTTATT